AAATAAGTCGAATTAAAAAATAAAAAAAATTTTTTTCCTTAAAAAATTTTTTTAACCTAACCTAAATTAAAAATTTTACCTGACCTAATTTAAACCCAAAAGAAATTTTTTAAACAAAATTCTGATGTGATTGTGTTTTTAATATATTATATATTAATAAAATAATATTTATTATATATTTATAATATATATATAATATATATATATAGCTGCATAAAAAAACAAACTTAGCTCTAGGTTTTTGTGTTGCAATCAAAATCAGGAGCTTAAAAGTTGCAGAAAAAGAGGAGGCGGTCCCGCAAATACGATCACGGAAAAGGGCTTGTTGGGAAAGAAGCGAGGGCGTGAGGCAGGGGGTGCCCCCCCGTATCCTACCCCTGCCCAAAAAATTGAATATTGTATAAGAAGACAGCCAGCCCAAAAAAAACTGAATTTGTAGTAGTAAAAAAATAGTGATTGGCATTTATGAAAAAATTCGGGGCAGACTAAGATTGAATAATGGAATTTGCATACCCAAATACAGATACCAAACTACTTCCTTTCCTGGATGTATTTTGAGAGGAGGTAGGGGTAGGGGGTGGACTGGGGATGTGGAAGGCAGGGCGGGGTTTTTGAAAGGGCTTTTTTGGTATTAGTCTGTGGAGTTAGAGGCTGTGGAGTGTGGTTTGCCTGGTATTTTGGGTTTGGTTGGTATGGGGGTTTAAGGGTTGAGGGGGTTTGTGAGCATTTTTTTTGGATTTCTCCTCAGGCTGAGCTTTCCCGTCTGCGATGCCTTCCCTGTTTTTCTTTCCACTGGTGCCCTTTTAATCCTTAGTTCCCGTTTTTTTTTTTCTGTCTAGTCAAGGTACACCGGAAAATTCTAGGAGTCCCTTTTAAATTGAAAAATTTTTTTTTCTCGTAAAGATTAAAGTGGGGTTTACATAATATAGAAATATTTAAATTTCAATTTTGGGGTTTACTATTATAAAATTTGAATGACAAAGAAGGCCTAACAGTGGCCTTAAAAAGGTTTCGTTGAGCTTTTTCCCCCTACTTTTTCTTGAAAGTCAATTGACTGGGGATTTTTTTTCTCAATACCCCCTAGAAAAATTTGTTACCTGGGCATTCCTCACCTATTAAAGCAATGTGCTCCAATCTTTTTTCCGAATGTCTTTTTTCTTATAGGTCGTCCCTTGAGCCCTTTAAACCATAATAATTACTGACCTCTCCCTCTCTTTTTCCCGTTAATTTTCCATCCATTTTCTGGATTCGATTTACGCTCTCCTTTTTTGTTTGCCTTTTCTTCCAGGCACCCCGTGTCCCGATTTTTATTTGCAAGAGATTTTTAGTCCTTCCCCTCTTTCAGTCCCCTCGTGTCTGCTGATATTTTTTTTCCACCCCCTGCCCTTTTAGTCCTCATTTTTACATCTTGCTTAGGGAATTCCAGTTTTTTCTCCAGTCTCTGTATGTTTGCCTCAGCAGCCCCAGCTCATAGCTTCCACTTATTACTCTCTTCAGATATCTTCTCCACCACTGTACTGCAAAGTTTGTTCAGCCTTTTTTCCCCATTCTTGTTCCATTTTGTTCTTGAGCCTTCCTGTCTATTCTTCCTTCTCAGATCATCCATCCTCGGTTCCTTTGTCTCTACATCTTCCCTTTTGAGAGCCCATTTTGTTTTTGTTTTATCCTGCTAGGAGGCCCTAGTTTCATAGTCTGTAAACTTTGTGCAGAGGTGTGTGCATAAGTGTGTGTACTCACCTACTTGTAGTCACCTAGTTATGGTTGCAGGGGTCGATTCACAGCTCCTGGCCCTGCTTCTTCACTGGTCGTCGCTACTAGGTCACTCTTCCTGCTCTATGAGATTTATCATACCTCTTAAAGCTATGTATGGATCCTGCTTCCACTACATCACTTCCCAGACTATTACAATTCCTGACAACTCTGTGACTGAAGAAATACTTCCTAACATCCCTGTGATTCATCTGAGTCTTCAACATCCAATTGTGATCCCTTGTTGCTGTGTCCCATCTCTGGAACATCCTGTCTCTGTCCATCTTGTCAATTCCTCTCAGTATTTTATATGTCGTTATCATATCTTCCCTATCTCTCCTGTCCTCCAGTGTCGTCAGGTCGATTTCCCTTAACCTCTCCTCGTAGGAAATGCCCCTTAATTCCGGGACTAGTCTTGTTGCAAACCTTTGCACTTTCTATAATGTCCTTACATGCTTTGCTAGGTTTTGGTTCCAAACTGGTGCTGCATACTTCAATATAGGCCTGACGTACACGGTGTACAGGATCCTGAATGGTTTCTTATTGAAATGTCGGAATGCTATTTTTAGGTTTGCTAGGCACCCGTATGCTGCAGCAGTTTTTTGGTTAGTGTGCACCTCAGGAGATGTGCCCAGTATAATACTCATGCCAAGATCCTTTTCCTCGAGCGAGGTTTGTAGTCTCTGGCCCCCTAGACTGTAGTCCGTCTGCGGTCTTCTTTGCCCTTCCACAATTTTCATAATTTTGCACTTGGTGGGGCTGAACTTCAGGAGCCAGTTTCTGGACCAGGCCTGCAGCCTATCCAGATCCCTTTGTAGTTCTACCTGGTCTTCGTCTGACCAGTGTGTGCGCGTGCGTGCTTTTGTGTGTGTACTCACCTATTTGTACTCACCTATTTGTGGTTGCAGAGGTCGAGTCTTAGCTCCTGGCCCCTCCTCTTCACCGGTTGCTACTGGGCCCTCTCTCTCCCCGCTCCATGAGCTTTATTAAACCTCGTCTTAAAACTGTGTATGGATCCTGCCTCCACTACGTCATTTTCTAGGCTATTCCACTGACTGACAACTCTATGACTGAAAAAATACTTCCTAATATCTCTCTGACTCATTTGTGTCTTCAACTTCCAATTATGGCCTCTTGTTTCTGTGTCCCCTCCCTGGAACATCCTGTCTTTGTCCACCTTGTCTATTCCACGCAGTATTTTATATGTCGTTATCATGTCTCCCCTGACCCTCCTGTCCTCCAGTGTCGTCAGGCCGATTTCCCTTAATCTTTCTTCATAGGACATTCCCCTTAGCTCTGGAACTAACCTCGTCGCAAACCTTTGTACTTTCTCTACTTTCTTGACGTGCTTTATCAAGTGCGGGTTCCAAACAGGTGCTGCATACTCCAGTATGGGCCTGACATACACGGTGTACAGTGTTCTTGAACGATTCCTTACTAAGGTATCGGAATGCTGTTCTCAGGTTTGCCAGGCGCCCATATGCTGCAGCAGTTATCTGATTGATGTGTGCTTCCGGAGACATGCTCGGTGTTATACTCACCCCAAGATCTTTCTCCTTGAGTGAGGTTTGCAGTCTTTGGCCACCTAGCCTATACTCTGTCTGTGGTCTTCTGTGCCCTTCCCCTATCTTCATGACTTTGCATTTGCCAGGATTAAATTCGAGAAGAAGCCATTTGCTGGACCAGGTGTCCAGTCTGTCCAGGTCTCTTTGAAGTCCTGCCTGGTCCTCATCAGATTTAATTCTCCTCATTAGCTTCACATCATCAGCAAACAGGGACACTTCTGAGTCTAACCATTCCATCATGTCGTTCACATATACCAAAAATAGCACTGGTCCTAGGACCGACCCCTGTGGGACCCCGCTCGTCACAGGTGCCCACTGTGATACATCATTACGTACCATGACTCGTTGTTGCCTCCCTGTCAGGTATTCTCTGATCCACTGCAGTGCCCTTCCTGTTATATGCGCCTGATGCTCTAGCTTCTGCACTAATCTCTTGTGAGGAACTGTGTCAAAGGCCTTCTTGCAGTCCAAGAAGATGCAATCAACCCACCCCTCTCTCTCTTGTCTTACTTCTGTTATTTTATCATAAAACTCCAGAAGGTTTGTGACACAGGATTTGCCTTCCGTGAATCCGTGCTGGTTGGCATTTATACTCTTGTTCCGTTCCAGGTGCTCCACCACTCTCCTCCTGATAATCTTCTCCATAACTTTGCATACTATACACGTCAATGACACAGGTCTATAGTTTAGTGCATCTTTTCTGTCTCCTTTTGTGTGTGTGTGTGTGTGTGTGTGTGTGTGTGTGTGTGTGTGTGTGTGTGTGTGTGTGTGTGTGTGTGTTTGTGTGTGTGTGTATCTGCCTGCCTAACATTTTACCATTATAATATTTACTAGTGCACATGAGATGTTAAAAAAACACAAACACAGTACACTCGGCACTGCCCATGTAGTTGAAAATTAATCCTAATTATTAAGTTATCTTTTTGACTTTCTAATTATTCTGTCAAGGCTGCCCCTACTCATCTCCTGGCACTCAAAAGTATCGCGTGAATGATTCTGTACATAAAGTTGGGCGAGACAAAAAATAGACAGCGACCAGATTGCACCCACATAGAGATGAATATTCGACCTTTACTGTCACAGTCTAGTTGAAATCCTCTGGTTAACTGAATACTTATTTAATTTATTTTATGGATTTTCTAGCCCCACTGATACCACTTTCTTATATCTTGCCTCCTCTTATCTATATCCCGACCAATCACTATTTTTTATTGGTTTGCTCTCCTCAAAATTCATAAGGCGTATCTAAAACTGTTTTATGTTCGAAAGATCAAACTTGATTGCCAAATAAACCATACCACTGGTGGGGTTTGAACCGGCGGACAGATAATTTCAAAACTCCAGACCTCTTGTTCAACCTCTCTGACAAAAGTGCAACTAATGTGAAAGATAAAACTAAAAAGAAAGATAAAATAAAGAGTCAATTCTCCGGTAGTTGGTGTCACCAGAACTGAGTTGTGAATGCACCTAATATCATAAGGTCCTAGTTATGACCACAATAATAAGGAAACACGTGTAAATACCACCATATTGATGGGATTGAGTCAGTGACAAAAACTGGAATGTATGGAAAGAGAAAATAAAATAAGTAATATAGACATCGTATGATTTGAGATGTTCCACATGAATTTAATGTGATTGTTAATTTAAATAGTTGTATGAAGAACCTGGAGCTCGGTTACTCACCTCTCAGCGATGGCGACTACTGGTAAATTCTGGAGGATGTCATCACTCATGTAGGTGATGGTGTCTTTATGAGTATCGAGAAGGTGGGTGCTGTGTCGGTACGTGTTTGAGCTGTCTGAGTAGGTGCTGTGCTGATTTGTGTCGGAGGATGAGTGAATGTGGATGTTATGTTGGTCTATCTCAGAATGGTGAAGATGGATATTGTGTTGGTGTGTGTCGGAAAAGGAGTGAAGGATTGTGCTCTGTTGATTTGTGTCAGAGAAGGAGGGGTTGAGGTGGGTGCGTGGAAGGTATGTGTCGGAGTTGGAAAAGTAGGTATTATGCGTTTTTGTGTCTGAGGAAGGGCCGTTGGAAGATAAAAAATGTTCAGAAGTAGGTGAGGTAAAGATGGTGTTGGAGTGGACATCCTGAGGAAGGCTAACAGGGTCTCCTGCTGCGGGTACCACCACCACAACGACCACACAGAGGATCATCTGCAGCCAAACCTGAAAAAAAAATATTATTGCTTAAAAGAAAAGATACGTCCATAACATGTTGCCGCTCCATTCTACGCTGTATTATAGTTACCTAGTGGAAGACTTGACGATATCTTCATACCACTCATTGTAGTTAAATGTTTATACTAGCGCCACTGGTGAGAGAGACCTGGCCATCATCAGCACTTATGGGAATACAGTCTCACACGGAGTTCTAATATTTATAATTAAAATTAAATATTTCTCACCTACCATTCTGCTGAAGTATGGATAAAAACCCATGATGGGTTTGTTGGGTAAACAGTCAGGTGTCACTCTAACCATGTAAAGTTCTCATTATAATAATTATTAATTTTATTATTAATTACATTTATTTTAAATCAAGAAAAGGAAGTGTACTAAAGCTATGTAGGGGTTACAACCTTATTCATGGGAAACCATACCCCGGCCGGGATTGAACCCGGGTTCAATCCCGGCCGGGGTATGGTTTGTTTGCAATCGTGTCATTACGATTTCGTGAGTCTTATTCATGGGTATCTCGTGGAGAAGTGCTCAGCGGTGCTCTGAGAATTGTTAAGTTTTATTGTCAGTTCACATATTTTAATAGACTGTTCTGTCTGTCAGGGAGTACGAAGAGCTAACCTCCAGCGTCGTCACCTCTCTAACGCACTTACTTTATCTGACCTCGGCAACAGCCTCACTTTGAATCAAATTTCCTCTCTAACTTTTTGCCATTACCTGTTTTATTACACCAACTTTGATTATATTTTCCCTTTAGCGCTCCCCACTACCCTTACTGACTGCCTCTTACATACCTCTAACCCTCACTGGTCTGTGATCGTAGCACATCCCACCCTGAAGCGATGTATGACCCTTGTGGATTTAGCGCTTAACTTTGGCTGTAATAATATCGATAGCTTAGCATCTTTATTTTGAAAGTTCTAGTTATCCAACCCATCACCTTCCTTGCACTTCTAATAACATCACTGTCATGATATTTCAATGTGAGATCTTCTGACATTGTCATTCCTGACGTAGTGATTATACAGTATTGTTTCATTATTAAAAACGATGAAATACAGGTCAGACCTCTGGGCCCTTTACTCTGGACAGCAGAACCACCATCACCGGAAAGGCGACAGATATTACCATTAAGAACTAAGAGGCCACCACAAGACGTCCTCCACGAGGCAGTGTGACATGACATGTATGATGAACGTCGTGATCATGATAGGCTGTTGTTGCGCGTGGATTGTAGAAATATGTGTCTAAACGAGTCTTTTAAACTTGAATACTGGGTTATACACTTGAAAATCATAACACGTAATTAAATGCCAGTGGATCTATTGATTAAGTCCTACTGCAGCGAGATACTTGAAACTGGGAGATACTTGCAACGAAAAATGCTGTTCCAATTACTTCGTTTTTTATATGCAGAAAAGTTTAATTATCAATCAATCCCCTTTGAATTATATAGTACTCTTACTGTTAACAAATAATAGTCCTGGAGTCAGTGCCGACATTTATCCAGTGATGCGCAGGATAGGAATTTTAAATACTGTTTCTTCCCTATTTTCAAAATACAGATTGTCTGCGAGTTTTGCAAGTGTCACATTACATTCTGTCTCTCGATTATATTATATATATATATATATATATATATATAATATATAATATATATATATATATATATATATATATATATATATATATATATATATATATAACATCTTGTAGGAGTGAGGAAGAGCCAGTTGTGAGTGTGGGGGAAGTTCGTGAGGCAGTAGGTAAAATGAAAGGGGGTAAGGCAGCCGGGATTGATGGGATAAAGATAGAAATGTTAAAGCAGGTGGGGATATAGTTTTGGAGTGGTTGGTGCAATTATTTAATAAATGTATGGAAGAGGGTAAGGTACCTAGGATTGGCAGAGAGCATGCATAGTTCCTTTGTATAAAGGCAAAGGGGATAAAAGAGAGTGCAAAAATTATAGGGGGATAAGTCTGCTGAGTATACCTGGTAAAGTGTATGGTAGAGTTATTATTGAAAGAATTAAGAGCAAGACTGAGAATAGGATAGCAGATGAACAAGGAGGCTTTAGGAAAGGGTAGGGGGTGTGTGGACCAGGTGTTTACAGTGAAACATATAAGTGAACAGTATTTAGATAAGGCTAAAGAGGTCTTTGTGGCATTTATGGATTTGGAAAAGGCGTATGACAGGGTGGATAGGGGGGCAATGTGGCAGATGTTGCAAGTGTATGGTGTAGGAGGTAGGTTACTGAAAGCAGTGAAGAGTTTTTACGAGGATAGTGAGGCTCAAAGTTAGAGTATGTAGGAAAGAGGGGAAATTATTTCCAGTAAAAGTAGGCCTTAGACAAGGATGTGTGATGTCACCGTGGTTGTTTAATATATTTATAGATGGGGTTGTAAGAGAAGTAAATGCGAGGGTCTTGGCAAGAGGCGTGGAGTTAAAAGATAAAGAATCACACACAAAGTGGGAGTTGTCACAGCTGCTCTTTGCTGATGGACACTGTGCTCTTGGGAGATTCTGAAGAGAAGTTGCAGAGATTGGTGGATGATTTGGTAGGGTGTGCAAAAGAAGAAAATTAAAGGTGAATACAGGAAAGAATAAGGTTATGAGGATAACAAAAAGATTAGGTGATGAAGATTGAATATCAGATTGGAGGGAGAGAGTATGGAGGAGGTGAATGTATTCAGATATTTGGGAGTGGACGTGTCAGCGGATGGGTCTATGAAAGATGAGGTGAATCATAGAATTGATGAGGGAAAAGAGTGAGTGGTGCACTTAGGAGTCTGTGGAGACAAAGAACTTTGTCCTTGGAGGCAAAGAGAGGAATGTATGAGAGTATAGTTTTACCAACGCTCTTATATGGGTGTGAAGCATGGGTGATGAATGTTGCAGCGAGGAGAAGGCTGGAGGCAGTGGAGATGTCATGTCTGAGGGCAATGTGTGGTGTGAATATAATGCAGAGAATTCGTAGTTTGGAAGTTAGAAGGAGGTGCGGGATTACCAAAACTGTTGTCTAGAGGGCTGAGGAAGGGTTGTTGAGGTGGTTCGGACATGTAAAGAGAATGGAGCGAAACAGAATGACTTCAAGAGTGTATCAGTCTGTAGTGGAAGGAAGGTGGGGTAGGGGTCGGCCTAGGAAAGGTTGGAGAGAGAGGGTAAAGGAGGTTTTGTGTGCGAGGGGCTTGGACTTCCAGCAGGCATGCGTGAGCGTGTTTGATAGGAGTGAATGGAGACAAATGGTTTTTAATACTTGACGTGCTGTTGGAGTGTGAGCGAAGTAACATTTATGAAGGGGTTCAGGGAAACCGGCAGGCCGGACTTGAGTCCTGGAGATGGGAAGTACAGTGCCTGCACTCTGAAGGAGGGGTGTTAATGTTGCAGTTTAAAAACTGTAGTGTAAAGCACCCTTCTGGCAAGACAGTGATGGAGTGAATGATGGTGAAAGTTTTTCTTTTTCGGGCCACCCTGCCTTGGTGGGAATCGGCCAGGAGTAACAGTTCTATTACAGTTCTAGAGGTGGTACCTCCCTATATATATATATAATATATATATTATTTTATATATATTATATATATATATATATATATATATATATATATATATATATATATATAGTGTGTAAGTATGGTGGACACAGCTACTTGAGTCACGTGACTACAAACTCTACATGCAGGAATTAGGAACCAGTTGGGAATTAAATTACATTGTAGATCTCGATTGTTACCAGGTAATTTCCACTGTGTTCAGTTCCCGTCTTATACTTCGAAATACGGTTTCCAACAAAGAGAGCTAAGGAGTATTCCTAGCTATATCTGTTTGTTTACTATATATGCCTGGGACCAACCAATTCTAAGCTACAACCCAATTATAAAAGTATAATAAATCGCACATGAAAAGCACACTGACTTTTTTGCATTAGCATTTATCTGTGTCTCTGGTTCAGCACCGCCAGGCAATACATCAGGCAACTTCAAAAACCTGCAGCAACTTTTGTCTTTTCTCTCTTTGCCAGTATAATCGGATCTAGTTTATTGCCTTAGTATATCTGATAACAAATATATACCACATGTTATCCATAAAAAACTGCATCACCAAGACTGGAAGCTAAAGGAGGTACTTACTGACATTGTACTCGTACAAGAAGAACGACGATTGTTGACAGTGTTGATAATAGTATCTTGGCCACAAGTTCACAGTGCAATCTGTGTTGTTTCCTGTCGACCTACCAGGAACTTGGCTTGTAAATAATGTTTTTTTTTTTTTACCGTATACTGGGAGTCACCAACTGTGAGGGAAGATAGGTAAGGTCGTCATCAGCCAGTGATGGAGCCAGCCAGCAAGGGAACGAAGGCTCACTGCTGCTGATGGCGGCTCACCAGATTGTGAACCTCTCCAAGAGAAGTGTGTCATTCTTCAGCTTTTATCACTGCTGGGCCCTGAGTTTCCCTATTAACATCCCCCCCCCCACCAACACCCCAGTTCTTACCACAAACATATGACAGCTGCCTTGGAATTTCTAGAAAACTAATTGGCGACTCTTCAAGACTGCGCTGGCCGAGACCAAACCCTTGTAGCCTGTTAAAATTCGAGGCGCCGTAAACCACTGAATCACCACTGTTCCATGCATCAGTTTCCCATTAGCAGTTGTTATTTATTACCTAAAACCACTTGTTTGTGGATGTATCAATATATTAAACTGCTTGTGTAACTGGTATTTCAAACGAGAAGAGATTGAAATTAGTGCTTAGCTTGTCACAGCCACGTATGTCTCCGCATCAGGAGTGACATGTCCAGTGCTACTGCGCACCTGATGCATGTGACATTGGTGGTTCAGTCGTTCAGGGCGTCTCGAATTTTGACACTACTAGGGTGGCGTGTTAAAGTTCGAGCCTCGGGCAGTGCAGTTATATATATATTTATATATATATATATATATATATATATATATATATATATATATATAAAATATATATATAACACTGATCTCTGGCTGAAGGAGACCTTGTTCCAAGGTTCGTAGGTTCGAGTCTCCTTCAGCCAGAGATCAGTGTTTGTGTATATTTCGCCTGCTCTTGCGAATTCCTTGCATTGCATATATATATATATATATATATATATATATTATATATATATATATATATATATATATATATATATCCGAATGGATAAAACTGGTCAATTAGCAAGAACTCGTTGAAAAATCAGTCCTTTTTTAAATTTTTCTCTTATACGTTTAAAGAATTAAACATGCATTTTTTCGTTTATGTTAATGTAAAAATTAATAATTTTGCACCAAAAGAAACTTAGATATCTTCTTTAACTTCATAACAAGTGCAATTTAATTTAGCTTAACCCAACTAAATATATTTTAGATAAGTTCACAATAATTTAGTAATAAACAAACACAATAAAACATATTTTTTTTGTTAGGTTCTGAATGATTTTTACATACACAAATTTTCGTTTGCTTTATTCGATAAGAAGACCGTTGCTGTTTAAGCCAAAATCGTAAGTTTTACCTATTCGGCACGACATATATATATATATTACCTGGAGAGAGTTCCGGGGGTCAACGCCCCCCGCAGCCCGGTCTGTGACCAGGCCTCCTGGTGGATCAGAGCCTGATCAACCAGGCTGTTACTGCTGGCTGCACGCAAACCAACGTACGAGCCACAGCCCGGCTGATCAGGAACTGACTTTAGGTGCTTGTCCAGTGCCAGCTTGAAGACTGCCAGGGGTCTGTTGGTAATCCCCCTTATGTATGCTGGGAGGCAGTTGAACAGTCTCAGGCCCCTGACACTTATTGTATGGTCTCTTAACGTGCTAGTGACACCCCTGCTTTTCATTGGGGGGATGTTGCATCGTCTGCCAAGTCTTTTGCTTTCGTAGTGAGTGATTTTCGTGTGCAAGTTCGGTACTAGTCCCTCTAGGATTTTCCAGGTGTATATAATCATGTATCTCTCCCGCTTGCGTTCCAGGGAATACAGGTTCAGGAACCTCAAGCGCTCCCAGTAATTGAGGTGTTTTATCTCCGTTATGCGCGCCGTGAAGGTTCTCTGTACATTTTCTAGGTCAGCAATTTCACCTGCCTTGAAAGGTGCTGTTAGTGTGCAGCAATATTCCAGCCTAGATAGAACAAGTGACCTGAAGAGTGTCATCATGGGCTTGGCATCCCTCGTTTTGAAGGTTCTCATTATCCATCCTGTCATTTTTCTAACAGATGCGATCGATATATATATAAATGTGTATGAGAATAAAGAGAACTGACCGTGACTCAACCTAGTCTATGGATGTATCAGGGCCAACAGTGTACAACTGATCCATGGAACTTTCAATAGGAAGATACTACAAATAACATTTCTGTGACAAGTTTGTAGCAGCGGCACCAAGTGTGACTTTACTGTCTTATCCCACATTCCCAGAAGCTTCCACTTAGCATATATTCTCATACCTACCATGAACTCAGTGGTCATGAACAACTCTTCTCTTTCCTGGAAAACATATTTTAAAATAACCGAACTGTGTGTTGCATCTCAGAAATTAATTGTATCAATGTCACGAACATTCGACGTTGCGCACAGTTCATGTTTCTATTATATATATTCCACAAACACTTTCTTAGTACGGTGTTTGTACTTGTCTTTTGAGTACTGTAAGAGGTTTATTTCTTTCCTGCCAGTCATCGGTTTTCCATCACAACATTAGTGAATACCGATGTCACTAGATTTCACATGGTTATGCATGTTGCCATGCTGCATGTTGCCATGCTGCATGTTGCCATGCTGCATGTTGACATGCTGCATGTTGCCATGCTGCATGTCTTATCCTTTGTCACCAGTTATTCAAATCTGGTGGCAAATTTCACTATACGACCAATTCTGACGGTAAGTTACTGTTCGTTATTTTTTTTTTCATGCCTGAAATGTACCCTACCGTACCTTAAGGAAAACATCGTACCGTAATTTCGTAGCACAATTTTTAACAAAATCAACTGCACAGTGTCGAATACCGTACCATATTGTACCTCTGAATGATAACTTACAATGTGGAAGCAGGTGGGTGAGAGCTGCCTCGACTTAAGTGAAAAGAAATATCACATCAAATATAATTGTAGATATTAACATCCAGCCAGAAAATACATGAGAACTGTGGTCTGCCATGTTAATAATGTAAGCAAATTTAATTTTTTAAAAAGCTGATGCACGTTGATGCAACGGGTCAGTATATCTTTCATACGCAGTATTTTATATGTCGTTATCATGTCTCTCCTAACCCTCCTGTCCTCCAATGCCTTCAGGTCGATTTCCCTTAACCTTTCTTCGTAGGACAATCCCCTTAGCTCTGGGACTAGTCTTGTTGCAAACCTTTGTATTCTCTCTAATTTCTTGACTTGCTCGGCCAGGCGCACATCAACCAAATAACTGCTGCAGCATATGGCCGCCTGGCAAACCTAAGAATAGCGTTCCGATACCTCAATAAGGAATCGTTCAAGACACTTTTTTTTATATTTTATTTAAAACATTGCACAAATACAGGGAGGTATAAAATTATAATAAAATAGGCCATGATACTGGCTATGAACAAAACAAAACAAAAAAAAAACTCCAAATATTACAACCCCAGTACAGAATATAAGTACACCATGCGTAACGACAATATTGCACCCAAAACACAACTCACAACATATCATTCAAAACCCGGCATTATACGAAGTATTATTATTATCTGTGCTGAAACACAGCTGGCGCATCTCCCCCCCCCCACTCACACACACACATTGTAAATTATACCCACATTCACCAATCTGAAGAATCATAACAATAATTAACCTCAATTTAGGAAACATCCTGACGCATCAGTAACTTGAAGAATAATTATTTACAATCACTGATGGTACAGGAACACTAAATTCACAAAAACTTATATAAGAAACTATAACACAATGTGAGCATTACATTTCGAAACACTTGTACACATCTACCCCTCAAGGAAGGCTCCTTGACGCTGTTGAGGGGCTCTTGATCTAGGGAATTGGATCTGTGCTCCAGTTCCCTGAATTAAGCCTGAATGCCTTCCATCCCACCATAGGCGCTGTATAATCCTACGGGTTTAGTGCTTCCCCCTTGATTATAATAATAATAATTGTACACATCTACCAACAAAAGATGGTATTACCGTTAATGACTTTAACTTTTGACACTTATTCCCTCCCCCTCGCCCCAAAATAATATATATAACCACTATCACCAACCTGTTGGCTCACATCCTAACTTGACATTAATGAAGAAACCTAAAAAGAAATTATACAAGCATTTGTGAAACAGGTAACACCAAAGACACAATACATTTAATAACAAATATTAACATATGGGAAACATGACATTGCCTAACACAGTGTCACCTCAACCAGGTGAAAGAAAATACACTGCAAGTGATTAATATTTCTAAGAAGGTAGCAACAATGAATTTCCACAAATCTCAAAGGCAACTTATGTACAATTATATTACCTTGTAAAACCTAACATTTCAACATTATATATAAAGTGAACTAGGTCACGATTCCAGCAAGTAAGAAAGCTGCATAACACCTAAACTAAATTGCAAGGTTCTCCCCATTATGACAGTCCCGTATCCCACTTTTATGCGGACACATCTTCCGCCAATACAAATAATATGTCTGTGATATATGCGTGAGGATCAGGACAAACACAGATTACACTCTTGCTGGCCAGCTCTTGCGCCAAAACGTAAGAACATAAGAACATAAGAGAGAACGAACACTGCAACAGGCCTACTGACCCACGCGGAGCAGGTCCATGCCCCCCCCCCCGGATTAGCCCAATGACCCACCCAGTCTGGTCACCTCCAGGAAAGAGCACAGCACCAGACCCAGCAGCACAAGCTAGTCAGGTCCAACTCAAACCCACCCACACCCACTCATGTATTTATCTAACCTAATTTTAAAACTACACAACGTTTTAGCCTCTATAACTGTACTCGGGAGTTTATTCACTCATCCACAACTCTATTACCAAACCAGTGTTTTCCTATATCCTTCCTGAATCTGACTTTTTCCAACTTGAAACCATTACTGCAAGTCCTGTCTTGGCTGGAAATTTTCAGCATGCTACTTACATCCCCTTTATTTATTCCATCGCCTCACTTCACGCAGTAGTAGAGGCCATGCTCTCCCCCTTTTGTTACACCCTACCTATCATCCACTCTTAGCTTAAAAGTTACATGAGGGTTATACTAAGATGTACACATGAAATTTTACAGTAGTGACGTATACAATCAAGGAAATTCAGCTGGGCTTGCCCTCGTCTACATCTCCCAGGCCTGCATAGGAATCATAGCGACAGACAAACTTAACGTCACACTACTTCGTACACTACCATTCTATAAAACATAACAGACCAGAATTCCTTATAATTCTCATCC